TTCGGGCCCTTAAGCAAATGCAGGTAGTGGGAGGGGGTGTAATATTCGTGAGCTACGATTATCCTGATAAAACCACTAATGGCCAGCGCTTTCCCAAAGCAGGAGATTTTTCTGTCCTACGCCACATTCTACCAGATCCAAGTGGTGGCTGCTCGTCAAAGCAAGGACATCGCAGCTGCGGCCGCCAAGGGGACCAGCCCCTGGAAGCTGGCGCAGCTCTCCGCTTGCATATGCCTCTGGGACCTTCTGTGGTTGCCCGCCAGCACCAGCTCCTCCAGCGCGCCGATGGATCTGTCCGTCACCAAAGAGCATGTCCAGCGTGCCTTCACCTGCCTGGAGATGCTTGAAGGTTTCGGCAACGTCCTAGCAGGGCTGGAAGCAGACAAAACGTGGATGCAGGCCCCCGCGGAGTTGCACACAGACAACAGCGACGAGCTCCTCCTGCAGAGCAAGCTTCAGGACACGTACGGTGGCACGGAAGAAGAGACTCTGTGCAAAGATGTCAACTTCGATCCGGCCGTGCCACAGAAGACGGGAATCAAGGATCAGACCATCGCCAGACGGATTATGCAGAAGGCCGTGCCTGACAAGTCTCGTTCCCTTCAACCGGATGCGGACCAGTGTTTCGCAACAAGTTCTCGCTGCACCTGGGGTCTCTTGCAAGGAGCAGATCAAGACGAGGCACAAGCTTTGCGTCGGAGACTTTCGTCTTGTGGCCAAGGCCGTGCCGGAAGAGATCGGTGAGTTGCTGTGGGGAACCGACAGCTTGCATTTCAAGCTGCCTCGTGCACAGGACATCTCCAGCGAGGACCCCATTCACGATGCCCTCAAGAACTTCGCCAACATCACCCTTGACGAGTTGTGGATGGACCTGTCCGCCAAGCAGGCCGATGAGACCAAGCAAAAACGTGGGGAGAAGGCGCGCGAGGCCAAGCAGCGCAAGAAGATGGATTCCAAGCAGCCAGACGAGGATTGAGAGCCAACTCCTGTATTGCAGCGTAGCTACCGACTTTTTTTTACCGTCGTTATTATTATTATTGTTATTATTATTTGCATTTATTATCGTTGTTGTTAGTCTTACTTTTATTGCTAGTCTTACTATTGTTCTGGTTATTATGAAGATGATTATTGTTATTATTCATATTCTTGTTATTATTATTTGTTTCACAAAGTTCAGATAGACTCTAGAAGCCTTTCGTGTCAAGAGACACGTGCGTGCAGATGCATGCCCTTGCCAACTCATGGCTCCAACTGCAGGTGTCTGTGTGTCCTGCGCTTTAGATTGTGGGTTTATTTAGGCTTTAGTGATTTTGTATTTCAATCTCCAGGCTTTCTAGATTTGTGGCAGGAGATAGCTTGCAGACTTTAGACACACAGCACGATTTCAGTCCAGTTCTTTTACTGTTGCGCTTGCTCGCGCCGTACACCCCTGACTGACGTCTAGAACCAGAAAAGTGGTCTCTGCACGTATCTTGCACATGCTCAGCGCTCGAGTCTCTGAAGGCAAGGTCTGCAAGCTGGCATTGCTTCCAAGCATCTCTCTGCCAGCTGCCATTCCGGCCCTGGAGGAGTCTCGCCAGTGAGTCGACCGGTGTAGAGCCTATCATGCCTTCGGCGACTGTGCGGCCTCACCAACGCGGAGCCCGCCCTCAGGCAAAGCTACCAGGCACGTTGACCCCCGAGGAGTTCGCTGCGCAGTTTCACAGACAGCAGCAGACCGACACAGACAGTCCTTCGCGCAGATGCTTCAGCAGCAAGTGAGTTGGCCCCACGGCTTTACCGACAGCTTGTTTTTGCGAGCCGCGATGATCCTCTACAGCTTCGGTCTCCTCAGCTGGCAGACTTCCTGCAACCAAGCACGTTGTGGAGGGAAAGTCCAGTTCGAAGAGACAGTGCGAAACGATCGGGCAGGCACTAAGTGTCGCTACCACTTCCGCTGTCTGCGCTGTGGGACGCGCACCAGTCCCGAGGCGAACGGAGCTCTACATGGGGTACGATCTCACCTCTGGATGGCTTGGATTCATTTCACCGCCTTGTGCACCCACAATCAGCCCTGGAGTCAAATCATGACCACAATGCGAAGTCAGTATGGCGTTAGCTCACCTTACCACACTCTCGGAGATTGGCTTGAAAGGGTGCAAAAAGCCATGGGAGACTACACTCGGGCCAAGAAGATGGATGTCATTGGCGGCAAAGGATTCGTGGTCTTGGGGACGACAGCGTGCAGGCATCATGAAGAAGCCCGCGCAGCAGCGAGGGCGAAGCGTCCACACCATGAAGAGATTGCCTGGTCAAACCATCTGGAAAAAGCCCGCTGTCCAGACAAGTGCAGGCAGTGACAAAGGCGAGACAAGGTGGATCTGGATGGCTGTTGTCTGTGGAAGACTAGCTTCCGCAGGAAGGCCTGCGGAGGTCTTCACGCACATGAGTCAGACCAAGCGCGTGGCTGCCGTGCTTTTGCCTGTCAGCGGCAAGGCCCTTCAGGGCAAGCCTCGAGGCACCCAGCAGCTCAAGAAGGTCATCAAGCATCACATCAAGCCTGGGACGAAGCCCGTGACTGATGGTTGGGCTCCTTCAGCCAGCGTGGTCAACTCCTTGGGCCATTTCGATGAGCACGCCGTGGTGAACCACTCCAAGGAATGGCGTAACGAGGACGGCTACCATACCAATGACATCGAGTCGGAGAACAATCGTCTCAAGACCTGGGCCCGCCGACGATGGGGTCGCTTGCCGCCCAAGTGCACGGACGAGATGCTGATGGAGTATGTTTTCCGAGTCAACGTCGGTTCGTCCTTCAAGTGCGTCCTCACAGCCGTGCAGCACGATGCCGGTGTCAAGAGTCCCTCAGTAGCCGTCCCGCTCGAGTTCCGTTAGCTACCTTTGCTGCTTGTTTCCCCTAAAATTATAAAGCTTGGCCGGAATATCCCCTAGCTGCCATGCAAGTTGAAGTGCAAGGCCGCGGTAACTGCTCACTGCGCGTAGTCTACCTCGCAAGCCTGCTGTTAAAACATCCTTCCGGAGACCTGCGCAGCGGCAGCTCGCTGTAACGCGCAGCTATCGAGAGTCACAACTCGTCACGTCAGCTCAGGTGCCCTTGCTCCAGACCGAGACGCTTCTGCAGCCGAGGGCCGCAGAGAACTATCATTATTATCATAATTACTACGGTCATTGCTATCATTCCTGTTACAATCCCAGAAGCCAACTTCCAGTAAGCAAGGCTAGGCGAAACATCCCAGAAATTCCCACGCACCCCAAACGCAGCAGAGACATTCCCACGCACCCCAAACGCAAGTAGCATACATATATATATATATATAGAGAAAACCTAGCCTTCTGTGTGAAGAATGAAATCTTCACAACTCGGGCCGCGACACTTTCTTTAAATATGTGATAAATGGACAAATACATATATACATACACGCACGTGATATATATATATATATATATATATATATATATATATACATGTATATGTATATGTATATGTATATGTATATGTATATATATATATATATAAATATAAATAAATAAATAAATATATATATATATATATATATTCATACACAGACACACATGCACATAATTAGATGTGCACATATGCTTATATGTATGCATTTGCATGTAGTACCTTTTGGGTTTATTTGGGTCTAGCCTCTTCGCTAACTAGATAAAGTATTGTATAATTGCTCTTCCAATTCCCCTATATTGCAGAGAAAAGAAAAGGTGTGATGTAGGTTTTTCGAGTTTTTAAACTCTTCCCCGACGCAAACATTTGAAACCATGAAGGTTGAAAATCTTGGATTTCTGGTAAGCCTCCTGGTAAGCCAGAATTTTTTAAACTTTATAACATTTGACAAGTTTGAAAAATGAAATTTGAAAATGCAGATTTTGATTTTTCGACCTTTTCCCTTAAGCAAAAAATTGAAAAACTAAAATTTGAAAACCTTGGATATTTGGTAAGCCAGGCCTTTTCTGAATTTGAAAAAATTGACAAAGTAGAAAAACAATTCAAATCTTGGATATTTGGTAAGCCAGGATTTTACGATGGGCCCGGAGTTTTTTTTTTCTTCGTGTGGCTTGGGGCTTTTTTCTTCCTCTGGCTTGGCTCGGCTTGGCTTGGCTTGGCTTTGCCGGGCTCAGCGTGGCTTGGCTTGGCTTGGCCTGGCTCGGCTTGGCCAGACGAAGAAGAGAGCCGAGCCAAGCCAGACAAAGGAAAGAAAGAACCTCCGCCCCGGATACCGTTTTTTGTTTTCTTCGTTTGGCTTGGCTCGGCTTTTTTCTTCGTCAGGCTTGGCTCGGCTTGGCTTGGCCAGGCGAAGAAAAGAGCCGAGCCAAGCCAGACGAAGGAAAAAAGAAAACCCTCCGCACCGGATCCCGTTTTTTGTTTTGGTTTGGCTTGGCTCGGTTTTTTTCATCGTCTGGCTTGGCTCGCCTTGGCTTGGCTTGGCGTGAAAGAAGAAAGGAAGGAATGAAGGAAGGAACGAAGGAAAGAAGAAGTGAAGGAAGGAAGGAACGAAGGAAGGAAGGAAGGAAGGAAGGATAAAAGGCAGAAAGGACGGAGATACCAGGAGTACCAGTCGTCGTCGTAGTTGTAGTACTAGTCAAAAATTTACATATCTTATGTAGTATATACCTGTATCATCAACGACCCTTCGAATTTTAGGTCCAACAGTGAAATCTGGAAATGTGAGTACTAGGGCTGATCTGGTCAATTGGGCTGAAGTATGGGATACAAAGGGAATGGGCTCCGCATGTTTGGGAAAGGATTGATTGCCGATTTGATGTCTTTATGTCGGCTCACGAGATTCTTGTGGGACCTGCTTTTGGTCCTTGCTGCCGGTGCGCCCACCCCGCCTACGCTGTTGGTGTTTTCTTTGATGTGCAGAGATTTGCAGGATGATGATGTTGACCCGCATGCCTTAGAAGCAACCCGAGTCATTGCTGTGGGCTCGAGATGCCTCCAAGGCGACTTTTGTGTGCTTCCCGGCACTAGATCCGTCATGTCGGGCCTGACGACCAGCCTTTTTCATAAGGCATTTCATGCAGGCACCTGTTGGTCACAAACCCATGATAAAGTAACATCAAGTTCCCTTGGGTCAGGTCTTATGGAACTTCCGGATGCTTTCTGGCTGCAGGCCAGGCATGTGCTCTTCCCGGAAAGGGAGAATGCACTTTGGCAGCCATAAGAGGAAGCCCTTGGCACTTAAAACCCGCCATCCCATTCTGTAATACTATCCATGCATAGGTCACTACACTGACCGATGCCGAGTTCACCTGCATCCTGGAGAACTACTTTCGCAAGGGGGCCATATGGATCTTGTGCCGGGCATACCACAGCCTTCGTAGCTCAGCTGCTTTGGTTCGTGCCGAGTTGTTTTAAAGCTGTCTTGGAAAAATAGCATGAACTTAGGCCGTCGTGGAGCAAACAGCACCGACTCCCAGTGAAGTGTATAGACATGGGGGGGTTAGGTTCTAAGCTGCACCGGACAAGCATGCGACAGTCATGCCAACGATGCAGTTATGCCAACGATGCGGCTGCACGGGACAAGTGTGTGACCATCATGCTGCACCGTGCTTCGGGGAGCATTGTTTGGAACCGAGTTTCATGATGCCTATGCCCGGCTTGATCAACTCCAAAAGGCCCTGCAACTGATAAACCCACGCAGGCTCACGCCTGTCGACTGCATTTTGCGGCTTCGACTTCGCTTGGTGGGTGACTCGGATAAAATAGGTTCATTTGGAGTGGTAGGGGTGTCTCTGTTTCTGCCCACAGGCGGCCTATCGACTTCGTGATTGTCGGGCGAGCTGTCCCGGCCTCTCGTGCAGGTTGGGAATGCACTGTTTGAGCAATGGTCCCGGTAAACAATTCTTTATCCATTCAGCCTGAAAGTTACATGCAGGTGGCGTCTGGTGCCACCTCCTTGATCACCTTTGCAGGTACGGGTCGCTTATAGTTTGTGAGCGCTGGAGATAAGCTCGTCTGTCTGTGTAGGTGACCCTCGACTTTGCTTCGGGACTGGTGTGGTCCAGCGTCTTCGCCAAAAGGACGGGGTGAATACTACTTCCTGAGATGTATGATCTTCCCTATGAATACCAAAGCCTTGTCTTTTCTGCAGGCAACCATTGACTTCGCCTCGGGACTGGTGTGGTCCAGCTTCTTCGCCAACAGGACGGGGTAAATACGACTTCGTGACTTTTATGCTCTTCCCTATGAATACCAAAGCCTTCTCCCTTCCGCAGGCAACCGTTGACTTCGCTTCGGGACTGGTTTGGTCCGGCTTCGCCGACAGGACGGGGGTGAATACTAGTTTGTGTACTGTTCCCTACGAATACCTAAGCCTTCTCCCTTCTGCAGGCACCATTGTCTTCGCTTCTGGGCTGGTTGTGGTCCTGCTTCTTCGCCAAAAGGACAGGGTGAACACCACTTCGTGACATTGTTTTCTGGCCCACGAATACCAAAGCCTTTCACCTTGTGCAGGCGACCATTGACTTCGCTTCGGGACTGGTGTGGTCCAGCTTGGCAAAAAAGGACGGTCAACATCACACCACACGTGTGTCGCTGGAGTTTAAAGCCCTTCACAGTTATGCAGGTGACCGTTGACTTCGCTTCGGTACGGGTGTGGTCCAGCTTCAAACAAGGAGGGGATGAACACTGCATTATTTGTGTGCTTTTAAGCCCTCGCTGTGCAGGTGACCGTTGACTTCGCTTCGATACTGGTGTGGTCCAGCTTCAAACAAGGAGGGGATGAACACTACATTATTTGTGTGCTTTTGAGCCCTTCTCGCTGTGCAGGTGACCGTTGACTTCGCTTCGATACTGGTGTGGTCCGGCTTCAGAACAGGACGGGTGAATAATACACTTACACATGTGCCCCCTGCAGCTAACTATACAATATACGCAGGCGACCACTGACCTCTTGGGGTAGATCTGTGGGCAAGTTCCTATACTTCTGGGACGAGGACGGGGTGACTAGTGATACCGGCTTATCTTTGTTGAAGAATACTAGCTTAAAATGGTGCAGGTGGCCATCTGCTTCGACCTACGTATGGCGAGACTGCTCAGGCTCTTCTGCGGGACTCACTGTTTGTGTAGTGGGCTTATAATCTGAAACAAACTCCCGGCAGGTGGTCCGCTACATCGTGCTCCATCGTGCCCCAGCTTTTTGCGGCTTTCGCATGTGAGTTCGATAGCTGAGTGAACATTGCATTTGCAGCTTTCGGCACTTCCGGGCAATCGTTCGATAGCTGAGTGAACATTGCATGTGCAGCTTTCTGCACTTCCGGGCAATCGCTAGTCTCGTGTTTGGGATGCTACAATAGCTTCAGTTGCCGATGGTTCTAAAAGGCGCAAATACAAATAGATTCGCATCTTTCGTGCAGCATGTGTGCCATGGAAGCACCCAAGCCTGCAGAAAAGCCCAAGAAGAAGGGCTATGCTCCGAAGGGGAAAGTGACCGGGCTAGGGAAAGCTCTTGCAAATAGCGAGCCCTGCCGGGAGCAGCTTCTTCATAAGAAGACGGTGCTGAGATGGCCGGATCCTAAGCTGACCGGTATGTGCACTGGTAGGGCCCTGAAGCTGAACAAACCCGTGATGCTAGCCGTTTCTGGGATTCTCTGCCCGCAATCCGAGCACAAGCTGGGTCTGGTGGTCAAGGATGTGAAAGCGGAGGCTCGTCATTCGGGATTTGGACTTAACGAATTTAGGGATTAGGGTTTGGGGCTGTAGACGATTCCTTGGGTTAGGGGGTTGGGTTTAAAAATGTTTGTTTTAGGGTTGCAGATCGTGATTACATACGTTGTGCAGGTCAAGAAAATGCGAGAAGATCTCTTAATGGAGCCAGATCCATCTGGTGTGCATTGCGAGGGGCATGCCATAAAGGGCTTCCAGACCTTGATCAACAAGAGGTTGTTCGCCTCCAAGAAGAAAAGGGCGGCTTAGCGGCTTCAGTGATTCAGGTTGTTCTTATGTTTATATATCTAATTAGCTGTTTGCTTCGTGCTGTGTTAGACTTAGGATGCGGCTCTCGAAGACCTCTATGCTGTGTACCGGAAGCAGTGGAGACCTACCCAAGAAGAGATAGATCGTGCAAAAGCCCGTGGCATCAAGCTGCTGTGTATGGAGGGTCCAGATGAGGGCGAGAGAAAGGCAGATCAAGTGGTTCAGGCCGAGGGTGATGATGAGGATGAGGGCTATTATTATGTTGAGGAAGGAGAGGAGGAAGAAGCACTGGAGGATGATGCATACATGGATGACTCCCAAGATTGTATCTCTGATCAAGACTTGGGCAGGAAGCTAGGGATCCCAGACGAGTCTTTAATTCCTGCCCCGGTCGATCCTCCCGTGCCTGCCTCTGCTTCGAAGCCAGAGCCCGTCGTGGCTCCAGTCGCCCCAGCAGCTCCACGCCAAGTGGTTTCGGATTACCTCGCAGATGCATACTGGAGTTCCCATTTGTCACCTATCAAACCCCGGCCAACTGACAACTGGGGCAGCTCACCCGAATCGGTCAGGAGCCCTCCGGCAACCATGGCCCCAACAGTGATCGTGGCAGGATCCGAGAAACAAGTTCCTCCGCCCCAGCCTGGAACAACCGAGCCCATGGAAGCCGAAGCAGATGTCCGGGCCGAACGGCTTGCACGCATTGCTCTGCTGCAGACCTTAGATAGAATTGGCAATGTTTTCTTGAAGCCCATACTGACAAAAGCTATCCCCAACTGAAGCGACCACTGGGCGCATAAACCTCAAAAACAGATCCGAAGCCTTAGGACCTAAAAGCACTGACCTGCAGGGTCTTGTTTCCTCTGCGCCGCTCAGGAAGATGATTGCAGACAAAAAGGCAGCAGCTGAAGCAGCTGATGGCAAGCTGACAGCCCGAGGCACCATACATTGCATCGACAAACCTCGCCAACCCTAAAAGAGCTAGCTTTTGCATAGACCAGCCTCTCCAGCCCTTAACGAACTAATCTTTTGACCTTTAGCCCTCAACCCCAAACCCCAACTTCGGGTGCTGCTTTTGCATAGAACGACTTTCTTGCACCCTAACCACTGATCGTTCTTTAAAACTAAAACCTTCGTTCAACTCCGGACCTGAAATTCAGGGACTGCTTAGCTGCTTTTTCATAGACAATGGCCTCGCCACCCTAGATTGGCTAAATAATCTCTAATCCTTAAGCCTGAACCCAAACCTTGTAGATCGAGTACACCCAAGAAGAAGAAGAAGAAGTTCGCGCCGGAGGTAGCCCATGCACTGTTCTCTGCCACCGGGTGTGTCACGTCATTGGGCGCGGCGGCCTTCGAGACGTTATTTAAGATAACAATAGTGTAACTCCCGCGGGGGCTTAACCGATCCTACTTCCGGGAGGGGGTTGAGGGCGCCTAACTGTTGAAGCAAACTGATAAATCTTCTCGCAAGACTGGTTGGGCAGTCCCACGTAGGGACTACCCGGACTTCGAGGTCTCCCGATAGGAGGATCCTCACTGTGGGTTCGGCCCGTGGCCTAGCCCAAGCGCGAGAAGAGCACGAAAAATAAGTCATGACGATACACTCATGCCAGCTTGTTGGGGGTACGAGCTAATTCTGTTTCTGGAGTACACCGTCAGTTCGTACGTGTCCGAAATGAAGTTCTCAGTTTGCTGCTGTGCGTGAAAGGTGGTCCATACACGACTGTCCAAAAAAAAAAAAACCGCCTTACGGTCGCGACGCCATGGCCGGTTCGCCGCCGCCGCCGCCCCCTCGTCCCCCGCCAGTGTCAGCTTTCCCTTTTCCTTTCCCTCCTTTGGTCCCCTTGCTTTTACCTCCACCCTTCCTTCCTTTCTCATGCCGCCTCGTAGCAGGGCCTCGATCCGGGAAGATCTGCACGCAGCTCGGTGTGTTGCCGTCCCCTGTCTTTCCCAAGACGAAGAGAACCCAGTTGAGCTCCTTGCGCACTCCTTCAAACAGAAGTCTGCTCGGCTCTCCGTTCTGGAGCCGTAGGTTCCACCCCCGCCCCCCGGCTGCACCCACTCCAGCAGACCCAAGTCTGCCAGGGGGGCAAAAGCTTCCCCTGACGCGACTCGGGCCTGCCGGGTGGGCACACCCCGCTTACTTTTACTGAGGTCACCTGCGAGTCGCTGCAGCTCCGTCTCGTCCTGGGCGCGGGCCAAGGTAGCTGACACTTCCTCCACCAAGGCGGTGGCGGAGGAGCACCGCAGCTGGCTACGGGGGAGCGTCCCCGCCTCCACCCGCTGAAACAGGTCAGCAAGGGCAGCAGAACTCTCCACACGAAGGTGTCTGTAAGCCGTCTCCCGTTCTGCCTGTCGTTCGAGCTTAGTGAGGCGTTGGTCAGTCTCGCCCCTGTGTTCTTGGAGTTCCTTGACTTGTTGCGACAGCTCGTCCAGCTTTCGCTTCCTATCAGCACCATCGGAGGGCATCACGGTCACGAGGGCGGAGGTCGGCGAAGCTAAAGCTGCAGCCCAAAAGGAGCTCCGCGATGTGATGTGAGATTGCCGTGGACTCATGACATCCATGTGCACAATACGTGATCAGGGACCCTAGTTGACTGCGATCTTGTCTGTCTGTTCACCCGCTGCTGCATGCCGTGTTACTACTCATGCTCCTGAACGCTTCTTGGAGAGCTTCCCAATCAGCCCGTCCCTTAGCGCTTCCTCCGCATGAGAGTAGCGCTCATGGTTCTTGCGCGCCTGGACCGTGCCCAGCACCTTACCGCAATATTTACATGTCTTATTGGCGTCGCCCGGTCCCCGGCAAATCGGCTGATGCTGGGCAAGATCCCCTGCTCTAAATTCCTCCTGACAGATGGGACAGGTGACTAATTCATGCCCACGGGGGTGTCTACGCTCATACGTAGTGTGAGGCCCACGACGAACTCTGCTTTTTGCTGCTCCTTTCCCCACCGCCGTCGATGGCCGTGCGCGAGGTGTCGGATCCGTGTTGTCAGGGAGCATCTCGAGCCATCGGGCACAGTGTGGTGATACCCTGCCTAGAGCTCCCCTTGCCGCCATTGCATCTGCAATATCATTGCCTCGATTGCCACTGTGCCCCTTTACGTGCTTAAAAATGACCTGAAACTTCCTACGTGCCGCGCTCACGAGCGTGGCCACCGACTCCGCCAATGCCTGATTTTCTTGAGCTCGGAAGAGTCTTGTGGCTATCCCATAAGCGTATTCAGAGTCATAATGCACATACACGATACGTGGCCAGTCTTCCGGCATACGGGTGTGTACGTCGAGTAGCCATCTACATGCTTCTCCTATAGCAGTGAGTTCCCCCGTGTTGTTAGAGTGCGTGGTAGCTCCCAACCACATGGGGTCGTGTGCCTGCGTTATGACAGGACCGTATAGTCCCGCGAGCCACGGATCTCCCTCCGTCCAAAAATCCTCCTCTACCTGTGACTGCTCGCCTTCAAAAGCCACTACCCCCCACCCTGCCATTTGCGTGTTGCGGTCTCCACCGGATCCATCCGTGTAAACATGTAGGGAGGTAGGTAGGGGCAGCTGTGTCATGGCATCATTCCAGCCCACCAGATCATCGATCTCGTCTATCGCATCAAAGCGCGGTAAGCGTTGTTTTGCTGCACAAGAGTGTGTTTTCAGTTGTCCTGCCCTCCTAAATGTCTGCAGGCATTGCGTGCAGGTGAAGGATTGCACCGTGGTGAGCTTCGGACTACAGATGGCATGTTCTGCCTCGTAGTGAAACGCTAAACTGTTGTATTTATCGAACTGCTGTTGGCACACTGGGCACGTAGGTGTGCCGTGTCCCCTCGGAGCCCGTCGGTCTGTCCGCGGCTTGCGACCCTTGGGGCGATACATTTCTGTCTCCTGTCCCGGTGCATGTCCTTTGCGACGAATGCCCATTTCGTCCTCACTATCCTCATGCTCCCGATCTACTTCTGGCGTGCCCGCTGGTAGCGCCCAAGCCGGGATAGGTTGGCCTAGGTGCCATCTATCCAATTCCTTTTCCTTTGCCTGTTTGACTGTCTCCGAGGGGAAAGCCTTCAAAATCCTATTTCTCCAGTCTGAACGGTTTTGTGCGAGGCGAAACCAGTCCATTTCTGGGATGCACGCTTGCCGTAGACATGAATTGAGCCACTGCGCCTGTTTGAAAGGGCATCGCATTTTAGCCTTATGACCTTCTACCCATCCAAACATGATCTGCTTCTGCGGGGATTCCGCCGGCATTCTTGCTACGTGTCCTAACCACAAAAGGCTAGCCCTTCGGACGGCTGAGTCGAACTTTTCCCACTGCACCAGGTTTCGCATAACCTCGTTTGTGATCCCTGCTTGGCGAAGTTCTTTCAGGCGATAGCCCAAGCTGCGCCGTATGGCCATGTCCTGCATGCGACTGATTTGGTTGGTCTGCCAGGAGCGGGTGCGCGAAAAGCTCATGAGTGTGCCTTTGACCACTGACTTAAGGACCCTGATCCGCGTGGAGGTGCTTAAATCCTTTCGCTTATACTGTTTGGTACGTCCCCGGAGCCAAGCGCCTGAGATCTCCACCACCCGGCTGGCCGCTTTTTGTGCACATCTGTGTGTTTCTGCTGCGTGGCCCGCTCGCTCTGCCAGTAGTGTTCCTAGATGTTTCACAGTGGGGCCCTCCCCTAACCACGGCACATCCGTGGGTGCTCGAACTGTTGACGCTACTCGAAGACCTTCCGTTTTATCTGTGTTAACTTTGCCCGCGAAATCCTCCACAGTTTGCGTAAAAATGGTCTCCGCCGCTCGAGCCTCCTCCGCTTCGCCTACGATGCCGGTATCATCTGCATAGGCAAAGTCCCCAATGCAAACTCGCTTGATGTTGCGTCCTTCCTCCTCCCGATCCGTTTTACGCTTGGCGACTTTACCATCGACCTTAAATACCCAATCCAAACCGGGTTGATGCTGATTGGACAGAGCCTTTCTGCCCCGTCTCGCTCGGAACACTTCCATAACACAATGATGAAATACATTGAAGAGTATCGGTGACGAGGGACAACCTTCGCGTAAGCCCCGTTCCGGGATAAAGTGCCCCGATACCTTTCCCTGAAAACGAACTTTGCACGATGGGTCTTCATGGATGCCTTTGAGTACTTTGAGGAAGCCTCGTGGGCAACCTTTCCTCTGCAAGGCTGTCCACAGTGACGGCCGCGATACTTTTGGATACGCCTTCTCCAGATCGAAGAAACGGAGTACATAAACCTTACTGTGCGCCGACTGTGCTGTTTCTTCCAGGATGCTTCTGGTTATCTGCTGGGCGTCGTCCACCCCTGACCCGGGTCGAAAACCAAACTGCAGCGGGTTCATCCAGTTTTGTGACCAACGTGACAGTCTTTGTGCGCATATCCGTGCCAGAAGCTTGGAGCCTACCGAAAGAAGGGTGATCCCTCGCCAGGTGTTTTTATCTTTCCAGTTTCCTTTGCGCTTCCAAAATGGTACCACGGTGCCTTCCTTCCATGCTTTCGGCCAATGTTCAGATTCACGCCCATCCTCCGCCGTGCTGGCGTACTGCCAAGCATCCGTAATAAACCGAAACATTTGGCGTTGAAGTTCAAGTCCCGACCATTTAAGAAATTCCGCCAACATCCCATCATCGCCTCCGGCTTTGCCTGTTTTCATTTCCCTGATGGCCCTTTGCATCTCCTCCCACGTAGGTTCATCATTCAGTTCCGTCCACTCCTCTAGCCCCGCAACATCTTCCCAGACCCTCTCCGGGACCTCCCCCTTACCCGCCTGAATCCGTGCGA